ATACCTGCTGATATGGTGAGGAGTAACACTCTAGGAAGGTCTCAGATGTTCTAGTGATAAACATGGTATTAGAACCTTCCTAGAACAGATCTGTACACCTCTCTACCATTCCACTGACAGACAGCATAGCACGCACTGGCTGTGTAAGAGGACTGTGCTCCTCTTGGGAGTGTGTAGGTGCAGAGCAATGGGTGTGATAGTGAAGTGCGTGCACAGCACCCATGTGTCAGGGAGTGTTTTGGGCAGGGATGCACTGATCTGCAGGGGCAGTTCAGTCTTGCCAACTCACATGATTTTCTTACCAGTCTCACAATAAGTATTATAAAGCCCCAGCTCCTGAAGTCAGGTGGATCTGAGGATTCCAACCTTCCCTCTTAAAGAAAAAGTAGGTTTCTAGCAGCGTTCCCTGTAACCTAAGTGCTTCAGTGGCCACCCAGGAGAAATTCAAATGCTGCCCAGCAGATTAGCAAGCACCCTCAGCCAGAACCATGTGTTTCTGCTGGTGGTGCACATCCGCATATGCCTTGGTGCACATAAAAATTATTCTTCATATAGATGGAAAAACTTCCAGGGAACACTGCTCCTTCGCCCTCCTGGCTGTGCAGAAAGTCCCTTAGTGCACCCAGGGGGCTGAAAAAGCAGAAGGCAAATAACTATTTGTTACGCAGCATCTCCTGGTTGTAAAGCCCAGCGCCTGACCTCGGAGCCCCGCGGAGACTGGCGGCTTCTTCCCCCTCCCCGGCCTCGCTTTTACCTTCGATGATGAATTTCTGAGCGTAGCGCTTGAGGTTTTTGCGCTTGATGGAGCAGAAGCTGGGGGGGAAGCAGCCCTCGGACAGCAGGCGGTAAATGTCCTCGAACTTGCTGCTGGGGCTGCAGGACTCCACCACCTCCTCCTCGGCCACTTGCAGGGCCGCGTCCATGCTCAGCATTGGGGGGGAGGGAGCCGGGCGGGACGCTGCGCTAAGGCCGCGGCTCTGCGGCCCCGCGCGCGCGCGCGCCTCCCCTCCCGCAGCTCGCGCCTGGCTCTTTTCACAGGGGCACCCGCGTCGCTCCCCCGCCCCATCCCATGTTCCCGCCCAGGGACCGTGTCTCAGTGTCGCTTGGCAATGGATGCCGCAGAGAGGCTCCCTAGCCTGCAGCCGCAGAGGCGCTGGAACTGCCGGGGCTGTCGCAGCCGAAGCGTTTCCCAGCATCTGGTCCCAGATGCTTGTTCTCCTAGAAACCTCAGGCTGCAGGGGACCGGGAGAGCAGCCCGGACCAGCCCCCTGCCTGGCCCCAGCTGCACAGCCCGTCCCTGGGGAAATCCCTGAGGCGCCTAGAGACTTCTCGGAGAATTGCAGCCCCCGTGGAGTTCACTGGAGCTTCGAAACCTGGACCGTAGTTTGTTTCAGAGGCCTTCAGAAAGTCTGTCTGAGAAGGGAGCGAGGTTTCTGAGAACGGAGGGAGGTTTGGGTTGCCGTGCAAAAGAGGGAACAGTTCCTGCAGTTACAGCCATTGATTTTATATCAGCCCAACTCAAGGTGTAAGTGAAAGAGGGCGAAGGGGATTTTGTCTTGCCAAATTAAAACGAGTGTTGAGATAAAAGTTACTCAGGTCCACTTGCCTGATCCAATTCCTATTTAAATCAATGGAAAGAATCCCACTGACTTAAATTGTCTTTGGATCAGGCCCTACAATTAGGGCACTGCCTCACACTTACCTTCCATTTCAAACTTAGTGGCGTATCTCCGAAGGCTCCTCTTCTGCAGTGCGGTGAGGTGCCTGGGGTATCTACCTTTGGCTAGATATTTGTACACCTGCTTGTACCTTTCTAAGGACTCTGCCCTGGTTTCAGCCTGGATCTCCTCCATTCCTGAGATGTCTGTCTGGGTGCCACATTCCACCTCAGTCAGACCTGCCATTCCTATAGAAAACACCAAATGGATTAATTACAGCATCTAGGCTCTCCAGGGCTATGTATACACTGGAGGGTTCTTGGGCAAGAACTCACAGAGCATCCACATGGCCTGCCCGCTCTTGCGCAACAAGATTTAGAGTAAAGCACGAGAAAACAGGGCCTCTTGCACAAGAGCTACGCACTTTTCTAACAGTTGTAAGCTCTCTTGCACAAGAAGGCAGTGTGGACACAGCAGGGGGTTCTTGCGCAAGAAAGCCTTATGGCTAAAATGGCCATCAGAGCTTTCTTCCACAAGAAAGCATCCACACTGCCATGGATGCTCTTGCACAAAAGCACATGGCAGTGTGGATGTGTTTGAAACACACTGATACCTTACTATACTGTGTATCTGTCACCATCACCCTTTACTGGATAGAGCATCAGCACTACTCAAGTGTGATCATGCTCTTTCAGCATCCACACCTATTGGGGCATTGTTGGCTCTAAGTACTAATGCCATTTGTTTTATGCATGTGCTGTGGGTGGACAGTTCTCCCCACATCTCCTTCTAATAGAGTTTTGATTCTATCATATCTGTTATGATTAGAGATATTATAGGTAAATAACCACTATTTTATACTGGTTCATTAAAATTCAACCATATAAAGTGAGTAAACTTGATCAATGTAAACAGCATTGGCTTTTCATCAGCAAGTTGCAAAGTTCTTTCCAAAGGATGTCAGGACTATTAACCACATTTTTATAGATGGGAAACTGAGATACAGGAGCACCCTCCCCCCCATTATTCCTGAACAGGTGATGTGGATTTTTAAATATGTAAAAAACATAAAGGTGCGCATCTATACTTGTAGCAGAAGAAACATTGACATTTATTCAGTTTCTTCTAAATTAATTAAAAAATTGGTCATTACAATCATCGACAGAGCATCAGCACCGGATGATCCAGCCATGTCAATGATGCCTCCCTCAAAGAAAGATCCCAAATGCTTTATAACGCATGCATGGAGGTTACCCACGAGAACTAAAATGCTCCTGTCTGTCCCAGTGTGCCACTAAGGCTCAGTGTAGCATAGGAGGGATTCTAGAGAGCCCAATGCAAGTGGAGAAAGAAGAGAAGTAAAACAGGACAGGAGAAAAGAAACGAGGGAAAAGGAAAGGAACGGACAGTAAGGCTGTGTCCAGACTCAGGGTTTTTTTTTTCGAAAAAAGTAGCCTTTTTTTGAAAAAACTTCACCTGCGTCCAGACTCAAGCCGCGTTCTTTCGAAATTAAATCGAAAGAACGCAGCTTTTCTTTCGATGGCGGTAAACCTCATTTCACGAGGAAGAACCCCTTCTTTCGAAAGTTCCTCTTTCGAAAGAAGGCGTTCTTCAATGTAAATAGGGCTTCTTCGAAAGAGAGCATCCAGACTCACTGGATGCTTTCTTTCGAAAAAGCAAGCCGCTTTTTCGAAAGTTCAACGTGCAGTCTAGACGCTCTCTTTCGAAAGAGGCTTGCAGTCTAGACATAACCTACATGGGGGAGTGAAGAGGAAAGAAGAGAAACAGGCAAAAAAAAAAAAAAGTTCCCTCGATGTTCTTTCCTCTTCCCCCGAGTAATTTGTTGACGCTCCCTTGTACACCGGAAGCAGGGCCTGGTAGGAACCATTTGATTATCGGACCCGATGCCCCTACAGCCCTAACCTAGCGCTGATCTCAGGCCGAGGTGCCGCCCCTTCCTTTTACAGTCCGGGTGGAAACATGTCTACGGGGGCTGGCTCCCAGGCCCAAGGAGATTCCGCCAGGCCGGCCCGCGCCTTCTTGGCTTGCGCCTGCTTCCACACGGACAACCTGTTCCTGCAGCGCTACCGCCTGCACCTCAGCTACCGGGACGAG